AGCACCACGCCGTGTGGCTTCCTCGAGGAAACCACCCTACGCAAGCAAAGTCAGACCTTCACCCCAAAAGCTGTCTTCTTTGCTACCTCTGGGATTCGTGAGGAATGTTGTATTATGAGATGCTCCCGCAAAAAGACATACCGCTACGGCAGCATTTACGCCAGTCAGCTCCAGAAACTAGCGGACGCTGTTCAAGAAAAACGACCGAGACGAACTTCTGTCCACCTACTCCACGATGACGCCAGGCCCCACATAGCTAAAGAGACCCGTGCAAAATTGGAAGAGCTGATCTGGGACGCGGTTCCCACCCACCCTATTCCCCTGACATTGCCCTCTCTGATTATCACTTACTTCATCCCCTTAAGGCATTCCTAGCGAAGAAAAAATTCACCAAAGTTGAAGACGTTGAAAGAGCGGTCAGCGATTTCTTTGACTCTCAGTCTGCTCAGTTCTGGGAGAAGGGATCGCTGACCTGCCCATTAGGTGGGACTCTGTAGTGAGTAACAATGGTGATTATATTGTTGAGTAAATTCCATTGTACGCGGAATAAAAAAGTAAAGCAAAAAAGTGTCAAACGGCTCAGGACTTTCTTACCGTCCAAATAGAACCAAGTGCAAACACTACAGCATATAATCACCCTCCAAGTCACGAAAATGATCAGCGCATTCTTGAACTTTGCAGTGTACGCTACACTTTTAAATGGAGAGCTACGGTTCTGTAAGCAATGAGACCTTGTGACGAGAAGCCATAACGAGCCAACAATTGCGATGAGGAACACTGAGGAACATAGCACTAGACATCACCAGTCGGCAACAAGTCCGAACAATACTACCGTGAAAAAAAACTTTCATTCAAGCGTTTTGTGGCTATTTTTAGAAACTATGAAGCGTGTCCCAATATGAAAGGAATTTCATCGAGCGTTAGCATTCATAAAAGCTAACATATGATGATGAGCAGCTAGCAGATACAATTCAAACATCGTTTACTAAACGCATATGTTGCAATTTTGCAATTTGGTTAATAAAGCGGCACTCATCCCGAATTGCGAACCCGAACTTCATCAGTTTAGCGTCGCACTCCATAGCGCGCATCATGTGGTAGCTTCCATTGAAAAGGAATAACCTATACATGAGGAGCGAATGCTCCTTATTAATTTCAATTCCACTGAAGCCAGCCATGGCTTATCACATTTCTGTGAACATCCAGCATTGGACTTGGATACAGACCCTTTCGTGGTCGAATCCAAGTCCAATGCTGGATCTGGAGAAGGTTCTGTTGCTAGTGATGTTAGTGGAATGGGAATTAAACGTGTTTACTGTCTAAATATCTTATCTCTAGTGAACTTTCACCGTTGGTCGGAAGACGAGCTAGTCTGGCGGTTCTATGAATTCCGTTCCTCTTGATGAAAGATCAGGAATGAAACGTGCTCATTCGCTAAAGAACTATTGAACGCTCGCAGTAAAGCGTGCGCGTCGTTTGAATTGCTCTTCGTTTATTGTTTTCCATTTCTACTCCGGTGAACTTCATCAGTGAAAAAAACTAGACTTTCCAGTGGAAACATTTGGTATAGCCATTGTGGTAATACTAGAAAAACCTAAGTCCATGAAACGCCCACAAGCCAAACTATGAAGGTTGTTTAATTCTCCCCCAAAACTGTTCATAAAAAAGCCCTACCCTCCACCAAAAAATTCGTTTAAGAAGTACAAAAGTGAAAAAGTCAAAGAATGATCATTATTGATGAGTCCTACCAAACGAGCAAACGAGAAAACGACAAACTAGTCACTAAAAATGGCATACTATGACAACATCTCTTCTTTATTTATTTCCTTCACAAGACTTACCAAATTCTAGTACTACACAGATATGGTTCTCAATTTACACGTCCCCCTTTCGTTGAAAGAAGCCTTGTAACCGCCTTGCCAGCTGGGTGTTGATTGATCTTTTGCGTTGCCTTGTAGCAGGATGTTTGCTGCAGGATCCTCGACGAAAGTTGTTCGTTATGAAGTGACCCCGACCAATTTCCAGCGTGAACTGACACTTCGACAATTCCTGCGTCTCTTTTGCTAGGATTTTCCCTTTTACGGAAGTCTGACAGCGGTTTTGCCTTTGCTATAAGCTAAGGAACTTGAAGGGATAATAATTTCAAAATTTGATTGGGTAAAAATAAAATGCAGCGGAGAAACATGTGGTGGAACTATGATTTTGCGCCATAGGCAGAGCGAGTATTTTCAGAAAAATGAAAATAAAAAATTGTTGCTTTCTCGAACTGGAATTCTGTACAGATATTCAGAACAGCGTTTATATGTTCCACAATTCCTCACTAGAACCTTTTTCAAAAACAGTTCAAGGTGCAAGTTTGCGTCGCAGTGTATACAATGCGGTTCATTGAGTGACTTTGACTAGAAAATAGACTATAAGTTGTCCCTGATGACTGACTGTGTCGCATTTCATCGATTGAACAGAAATTTTTTTCTGTGCAAATGCGACTTTTCAACCTCCAAACGATTATAACTTCCTTCAAAGTCACTCATTTGGGAAGCCTAACACGGTATGACATACAGGAATCAAGCTGTCGCGACCATTGTCCCGAGGAAGGTGACAGCATCGGCGGATGGGACACTTGGCCACGGCAGAATGTGGATATTATAAGGGTCCACACACCCTCCAGGGGGGATTGTCACGCCAGAATGCTTTAAGTGGCAGCCAACTGCTGCAGCCTGCCCCGGGTGTTGGTGAGGCCCTTTTGCCCCCTTTTACTGACGACCTTGTTAACCGCATTATGCATAATGAAAATATTAACGACTATACGTATTG